AACCTCAAAAACTTCCTGCGCGAAAATTGCCACACTCAAAGTTCCAGGCTTCTACCTGAACAATCACTTTAAAAACACATACCCTAAATCCGAAAAGAGGCCTGTGCTCCTGCCTCGCCCATGAGCGCTTCCAGTAGAAGAGCAGCAGTGGGCCGTTTGCTCACGCCTAAGCTTACTCTGAGCGGGTTAGAAGGCTTTTGCGGAGTTTTTATAACGTTTTGTGGTTGCAAAGATCTTTAGATGGTGTGGGGCGGGGATGCTTGAATTCAAGACTTCGTGTAGGTTCAAAGCTTAATAAAAAAAAAATCAAACATTCACAGCATGATATAACGGTCCATGCTGGCATAGCTTTACAGGAACTCTGAAGCCATACTACTTCTAATTTTTCAGACAGCTACGTCACCCTAAACTCTTAATCCAGAACCCTCATTCCAAGCTCTGGGTTTAGGGGTGCCGTGCTTCTTTGTCTAGTACGTGAGATCATCATCTAGCGGTCATAAAAGGATATCACTACATTTTTTCACAGCTGCTTAATGCACTCTAAAACCCCTATAATAACACTTATTCCTAAACCTTATTATAAAACACGTTAAAGGAACCCTAAGCGCCCTCAGGATCGATCGGAGCCTCGAACCCCAACACCCTAAAGCCCTTAGAGAGCGCGAGCCACGCTGTTGGGCGCGCGTGTGTCCGCGGATATATTGCTACTGAACGTACCTGCCTTATGGGAGGGGCGGCTTGAATGGAGTGCATCATGCATGGAGGGATGCCCGAGTCAACCAGAAACGGACGCGCAGCAACCGCAAGATTATATGCGTTGTCTTTGAGGCTCATGATGTGGGTGCGCACTGCCACAGCGCAAAAGAACTGCGAGCATGCCCGGTTGATGCATTTTCGGATTTCTGGGCTTTAGGGTTTGGGGGTTGAAAAGTTTTAGGGCTTTCGGGGCTGTAGGGTTTAGGGGGTTAAGACTTTTAGGGCCTTTGCGGCGTTTGGGTTTAAGAGTTTTGGTCCAAGTCTTTATCCAGGCCCACACATAACTAGGGTTGTTGTATCAGGTGCTTGGCAGGTGGTGCCTACCCTGCTCAAGGGTTTCCTCCTAAGTTCTTTCGGAGGGGTGGTTTCGGGCTACGGTTTAGGGCTTGGGGATGAGATTTGGGGTTTCGGCTTTACCACATAGCAATATGGCACAGATCTCCTCCGAGTCGCCGTTGCTCATCAGCCACTGCCTCAGCAGGCGATCAGGAGACTTAGTACCCGGATTGGTGCTACAATGCTACGAAACTATAGTTGCCTTGCTCATGAGCCTACATACTACGTCCTCTGATCCCTGAATACAAAAACCATATAAACCGATAACACCTGTATACTGCCTTCGAAGCTTCTCATAACCCTGAGCGCAGAGTTCTTGATACATCAAGAAGTCTAAACACCTCATCCAAGGAAAACCCCCTGTGCAGATCTCACAAGCTACTCATGACAGTACTTACAACGTCCCTGATCCCTTAACGACCCCTCATCCCATGTCCACGGGACGAAAATCGGAGAGTCGGGAACTTTACTCATGCAAAGATCCAACAACCGTGGACCCTGTGAATCCCAGGCAGTCACTAGGAGCAGTAATCCCGTAGAGCCTGTCAAAAACCCTGCAAGCTTTTCAAAACCTTCACAAAGCCTTTCTACACCGCTACACAAACTTTGAAGCCCCACTTAACAAAATTTAAGAGCCCTAAAGACCCAGCCCCAGGATTCCTGAACCCCTGAGAATCCTGAGCACACCAAACTCCAAAGACCATTGAATAAAAACTTGTCAAGGACCCATGCAAAGATTCTGAAAAAGCCTCTGCCGAAACCTGAAATATTGCAAGAAGCAAACCTCCGTGAAAACCTTACAATGCCCTGTAAACAAACCCTTCAACAAAGCCTAACGGCATGCTGACCGAAGCTCTCTGATCAAATTCTTGTAGAACCCGATTTAGCCCCTGTAAGATAAAAAACTGTCCGTATCATGTAAAATCCAAAATAATTAGTAATGATAGTTCCTTATGATCGCCGAAAACTCCGTTTTAATTCTGGACACCCCAATATCAAACCCCAGGTGCATGGGATCCGCTTCGCCACACAGGGCCTGTAAGGCGAGTTGACAGAAGGCTTGAAGGAGGCTCCTATTAACCCACGAGCTTGTAGGCCTGGGGTTTTAAGGGCCAGGGCCCAGGGGTTTTAGTGCTCCAGGGCTTGTAGAGCTCTAGGGTTCTAGGATGCGGCAACGGAGACCTCAAGTTCACCTGGTACACGGCGCATGTGTTCTTGTCTTCCTAGGATCATGACAGGTCTAGGCATCCATCTGTCTGGGAGTCCTAAAAAATGAGAGGCGAACCCCAAGTAGGCCAAATTGCAGTATCCTAAGAAGGAGCCACACAAAAATAACCGCCCCTAGTTCCAAGAAACCCTCCCACCTAAGCCGTAGCCCCTCTGAAACACTGTCAGAGCCCTATCGAACTAAATCCATTCGAAAGCCTATAAGACCCCATAACATTCCTTTCTCTAGGGACTCCGCAGCCCGGCCCCAAAAAAGTTAACCGAAATGGATTTTGTGAGATTCTACCAGGTTTTATGACTCATTTATGACGATTTCAGGACGTTTCTCTTCATGCAATGTGCTTCACAGAACGACAGGACCAAGGAAGACAAACCTGACGCTTTCTGTAGGAGCCGTTCTGGACACGGGTCGCTCAATGAGACGGCACTGTCGTCTGCCCACGTGCCGTCACCATACGTCCCCGCACTTTCGTCAACCTCAATCTCCTCGAGCAGGCCCTCGCCGACGGCAGCCTCAGCGGCCTGGTTGCGGATTCGCCAATAAACATGGGCGATCACGGTGTCTACCCAGCTCTCGTCGGGGTCTCGATCTGTAACTGGTAACGAACCACGACATGTCCTGGAAATCTTTTGCGCACTGTCGCGTTTCTGGCGGCATGTTGGAGCCAGCCATCGTGCTCCCCGAATTGATTGCCTCGAGCAAAGAGTGCAAGTCCTCATAAATCTTAAACCCTAAACCCTAAGCATAATACAATAACATCTGCGCTTTTTCTTTGGGTATAGGACTTTGGGCTTCGGGCTTGGGGTGTAGGTTGACGGCTTAGGGGCCCAGGCTTTAGAGGGTTGTTTAGGGTTTAGGGTTGAGTCACCAATCCCAATGCGTTCCATGCTACCTCCTTTCACTGAAACCGCAAAAAGCTCAGAATCCCGTCACAACCCTTTTTCTTGCGGAGGGGGCGCGACATGAACATGGCAGCAAGCAGCAACAACACGACGACGACTACTACTATTACTACTACTATTACTACTACTATTTCTACTACTATTACTACTACTATTACTACTATTACTACTACTACTACTACTACTACTACTACTACTATTGTTATTACTGCTACTACTGTTACTACTACTACTACTACTACTACTACTACTACTACTACTACTACTACTACTACTACTACTACTACTACTACTACTGCTGCTACGACCACTGCTAAAACTGCTATTGGGGCGAAGACGACGACTACGA